AGTAATGTAATGTAATGTACTATCATGTCATGTCATGTCATGTAATGTCATGTCATGTAATGTGACGTATGTATATGTATGTGTTACTTGCTGGGATCGTTCCCGACCCTTCCACTTTTCCCACATTGCGCCAGCAGCACCGGCTGAAAGGTTTCACACCATGACGCTTCTGACAGCGACCACGCCGAGCTTCGCGTTCAACGCCTAGGCTTTCGAAAGCGCTCACCGGGTGGGGGGGGCGTTTTCCCCACAACGGTGTGTCCCAGACGTTGGAACCACAGCCCGCCTTTCTTTCCTTGCAGCCAAACCAGCGTTTCAGCCGAAAACCTCGCTCTTCCATGACGCATCTAACGGAGAGCCCTGCGAGTCTCTCCTTCCACCCACGCGTGTTGGACGTGGACTGTGCCGAAAGCAAAGGCAGAGCAAGCAGACCACGGCTTCGGAGCCGAAGCGCGGGAACGGAAGCCATTTCTGACCCATACCATCTTACCTTTCTTTGAACTCACAAAGCTGCCAGTTTCTAGTCTGGAAGGTGATTTTGGACGCTTCCCGCCCTTGTTGAAACCTCATCGACCGATCCCTTGTTGCGGGTTGCCTGAACTTCGTCCGGAGGCCATGTGAGCGATCCCTTCAGCGTAATCCGCGCAGTGAGGATGGCGCTGGTGAGAGTGCAGTCGGGGCCGAACATGCTCGGGGAATCAAGGATACTTCTTGTACCGAATCTGTTTTTAGGAGGACAGATGTATATACCATGGCCATCCATGGTGTGCCATAAGTGATGATGGTGTACCAGAAGTGATGCATTTTCTGGCACCACATCATTAGGAGAAGTCAGGTGTACCGCTGGACTTTACAAGGATTTCAGCATGCATGTCATCAATATGGCCCGGTTGATTCCGGTTGATCTCCCACCCCCTCCGAGCGGCCTCCGCATGGAACCACTTGACATCGAGGTGAAGCAATATGCCGCCAATGGTGGCCTCTGCCACACGGACTTCGAGGACGACCTCCCGGCCTATGCTCTGCTTCTCCACCAGAAAGGTAGCCGCACCACACCCAGCCTGTTCTTTCAGGCCAAGACTGTGGTGGAAGCCTACGTGACCTACCTCACCACTTTGTACCCAAATGGGCCTCAGTCAGTTCAGGGCCTCGTTCCGCCCTCAGTTTCACTTGCCCTGCTTAAACAGCATGACTTTTATATATATATATATATAGTTCCTTGCTGTCTGTGCATCTTCAGTCCCACACCCCCACTTGCCGGCGCTCAGGCGACGGAGTGTCAGCTTGCTTGGACATTTGGCCGCCCCGGCAGCTGGACGCTTGCCTTGTACGCAGGAGGTGGACGTGACGGCCTCGAGCAGGCCTTCATTCACCTACAAGAGCTTAGCGCCTGGAAGCTCGCAGAGCTACACCTGCAGGATGTCACGCTGGCCGTCTACGTGCATGGCCTCCCAGAAGCCGCCCACTGGCGCGTCGAACACAAGCCCCTGCCACACGCCCACCTCGCATTCCGGGGGTGCACCGCGCCAAATGGAGGACACCATCTGACTGTGTCCTTCCGCATCGTCGACGGTGGGCTCGTGACCGTCTTGCGCGGCAACACCTATGCCCTCAAGGATGTGCACGCGCTCGACGAGCTGCCGTCTGGAAAGACACCCAACGGCTGGATTAGGCAGAGCCGCCCCCTGCATCTCGGGACGCCAGCAGATGACACCCTGTTGGCTACCATTGCCGCCACCCTCGCCGACGCCTACTATCTCCTCGAGGTGGACCCGAGCTTGCCGGCTGAGCTGCAGACCGCAACCCGGGCACATTTTTCTCGCGCCCAGTGATTTGGATACGGCATCTCACCTGAACTGAACCTGCCCCTATCTCTTTGCAAGCCGCTAGACACCATAACCATTGCTACACATATGTTTTTATCTTTCAGCTCGGGTGCCTGCCCCTGACAACCTGGGGCTGTAGTGGTGCTTACAGACCTCCGCCTCATCGCTGCAGCCCCAGTGGCCTGCCGCGGCGCCGCGTTGTACCCACAACGCGTGGAACCGCACAGACGGAGAAAACCGCTAGTGCTCACTCTTACACCCCTCCGTTGCCGCACCCACTTTCAACCGCCGTCTCCTTGCCCACCGCCTGCCACAGGTGCC